AATTCTTCTGCAATTTCTCTGTGCTTGCACTATCGATTTCGTTTTCTATGAACCACCATAAAATCTGTACTTTTTCTTGTGGTGTATGCATTCTCCTTAATATCCGCTCGAATAAAACATCACATAGAAAAGTACTACATAGAACAAACACATCAAAAGTAAACATAACATTGCAATAGTTGCCATAAACAAAAGAGAGAAAAATGCAATTAATAGGCAGACGATATTTAGAAAAGTACAGATATTTAGACTGGGAAATGAAATTATCTGAAATTAACCCCACGCGCAGACGATATTTACAAAAGTAAAGATATTCAAACCTGAAAAAGAAAATACATGAGTTATTTCATCAATAAGTTTGTTTATATCTTCATTATCTTCCTTATGAGTTATTAAACATCAATATGTGTCCGGGAATTTATAAACACCCTGTATAATAGAAACATATGTAACTGAAATTCGACAAATTTAATTAAGCAATTTAATTTTTTTTGTCATATTGAATACTAATACAAAAACAAATGTAAAATGAAATAATTATGTTATCAATGATCAATTAAAATTTATGTCTGTTTTGTTATTGAAAAATAAGGTGAAAATAATAAAATTAAAAATTATACACTGTAGATCTCTGAATATTCAAAAATGCACATTTTTATATATTTGCATGCTGAATATGCACATTTTTCTTTTCACATCATTTTGTGTACCAATGGTTTGCACTTTTATGCATTATTTAAGAAATATCTCAAACATAACTGTTAATTAATATTGCTGGCTGAACGATTTTTGAAAGTGGGTAAAAAACAATTGAAAGTAAGGAAAAACAATGATAAAATTAAAAATTATTTACAAAACCTCCTTATATGCAACATTTTTCATCAATTTCTTTTCCATATTACTAGTTTTCATTTAAACGTCTTGACTCTTCAACGTTTCTTCGCCTCGCATTCCGCCGTCGCGTATTGATAGCACTACGATTATTTTCGAGGTAATTTAGTACTGCTGAATTATGTTCAGTTTTATGTCGCTGTATTTTAAAGTAAACCCTGTTCAATATATTTCACACATTCAATACGAAATAAAAATCGCAACAAGATTTAGCTGGTAAGTTTAGCTGCAACACTTCTGCAGACAGCATTATTAAAAATTATTACCCTTTCACACACATGCGATCTCAATTTTGATTGGCTGTTTTGTGCGTTACTTACCAGAAGTCTTCTGTGATTGGCTATGTGTTATCATTCCACTCTCTTATATTACATAAATATATATATATATATATATACATANTATATATATATATATATATAAACTGATTGCAATTTTATGCATTTGTTATAACTTTAATTGTAATTTCGCTCCTTAAATACAGAATTTTATTTTCTTAAATTTTTTTAAAGAAAAAATAAAAGTTTTGTTGTAGCTTTACTTTAAAGAAAGAAATTATGTTTCCTAATTAAAATAAATGGAAATAAATAACTTCAGCTTTTGACACTCTTAAAACCTAAAAGTCATAAGAAAATAAATATTTGAAAAGACTGTTATGTTCAATGTAATTTAAAGTTTCATGATACAACATAAGAAATTTATAATTTTTTTAAAATTAAAACTACATGAAAATGAAATAACCATAAAATAACTATAAACTACATGAAAATAAGATATATACTACATCAAAATAGTGTGCATGTTGATATGTGATTCATTTTTATAATACCTAGTCTAATAAGTGTAAAAATTGAACTGAAACAAATTACCAGCATTAGATTATTATAATTAACAAAACATGACTGTTATGATAGGAATTTCAAAAATAAATAAAAAAAAAACTAAACAATTTAAAATGCACTCCGTAAAAATTTTTGCAACATTTACAAATACTGATAGCTTGCTAAAAGTAGGAATTGTGACTGTTTTTTGTTTATAATGATTGTTAATAATGGTAAAAACTTTTCCGTTATGATGGAAAATATTGACAACTGGGTGAAATAGGGGAATTTCAAATTGTATTTTGTTTATACTGATTTACCGAAAGTGGTTGCAAGTGAGAAGTTTCACTGAAAATATATTTCATGCTAATAAATGTAAATCAGAAGTCATAACAAGGCTGAGAAAATTAATTATTTTAACAAAGTTGTTTTTATCTTATCAGCAGTAGCTGTAAATGGGCTTTTGAGACTGCGACTTTATTTTTATTATTGATCGTTTAAATTTCAAAAAATTCCTCTTACACTTTTTGTCTTCCCATTTTATTTGCACAAAAATTTTAGAAATTACATGACCCCGGCAGAAATCCATGGCCATTAATAAAACATGTAAAACGCAATAGTTACAATAAATTTCAGGGTAGCACTAAATTAAACAAAAAAACAAGTATGACCAGTTTTTTTTTGAAAATTGTTTTCCGGATAGCATATTTTTTAAAGTATATATTTTAAAGGCAGGAAAAAAATTTTCTGTCACCTTTCTGTTACAGAAAAAGGTTTCCCAAACATTTTTTATAAATATTTAAGACTATTCAGTTGCAGAAAAAGAATACTTTGAAAGTCAATACAGTCCAGTATTCCTATATTATTGTAAGGCGAGTAATAGTTTGGATAATATTTATAACACTTAATGAATATGAGGAGAAAAAAACTTTTCAGTCTTAGCTCACTAACCCTTTACAATAAATTATTATACAAGTAGAGAAAACAAAAAGCAAGTGTGTTGAAAAAAAATAGTAAATTGAATTTTGTTAACAGAAGCTATTGAGCCATGATGGCTAAATTGATAGAGCTTTCGCCCTCCAATGAGGTGAACCGGGTTCGAATCCCAGCGATAGCTGGTTGATACGAATTCCGCATCCGGCTTTCACTGACCACAGAGCTGACGTGAGATATCCTCAGTGGTAGACGTATCATGGGTCAGATTCTCAATGCCGTCAGGCTAATCGTTGGAGGCTTTCGTGGTTTTCTTTTCCATGTAATGTAAATGCGGGTTAGTACCATCTTAAAGTTAAAGCGGGTTAGTACCATTTCGACAATAGCAAATTTCTCCCATTACTTGATTCAAGAGTTCTCTTGTCTTCTGGATTGGGTTCAAGATTACAATACAACGGAGTTGAGCAAAATAGTTGTAAACCCAACAAATCTGGTCGGATGTTCAACGACGGTTTTAAAAAGGGTCTACCGTGGTGGCTTAGCCGTAGTTTTGAGCCGTGGTGGCTTAAGGGATGGAGAGTTTGCCTTCCAATGAGGAGAACCGGGTTCGAATAATCTCTTTCATCCAAAATAGAACATATTGGATGAAAGAAACTTTGAAAAGTGAGGTTCTACTACAAGAAATGGGTGTTCTTGCAAAAGTTGAAGACGTCTTTTCAGGACCCCAAATTATAGCTGAAGTAAAAATTCCATTAGAGATATTTGGTTGATAGAAATTTACATTAATTTAAATATTAACTAAATAATAAGTTATATTAAATTGATGTCATTGAAAGAGTAGAGATAATTAAATGAGTAATACTTAATAGTAGCTCAGTAATAAACTTAGCAAAATGTCACTTTATAATAATACTTAAGTATAAGTTGTAAAGAGGTAAAATCATTCTGTAAACAAGCATTGCTTTCCACAAGTATTCAAAAAAGATAGTTGAAGAGTGAACTATTTAATGGGTTTCATCAATCAAACTGTCAATACCCCTGACTGACCACCTAGGGTATGAAAAATTCTCTTAACAAAGGGGGTAGGCATTCCCTTTGTCTGACACTCGCCCTTTTATGGTACATCTCTGGTAAATATGCCAGCCGTGGGTTAACAACTATTGAAGTGTCATATGATTGCCTACAAAGATATGACTGAAAATATTTTTAAAAATTGGTTTGAAATGAATAAATAAATAGAAATTATTGACGAATGGATTAGATAAAGATTTAATAATTCATGGCATAGACAGGTATTTCATTATATGAAGCTAGCTGAATATCTCTCCTTCGAATGGGTGGAAAAAGCAAATAATCAATAAATCAGTGCTGGAAAACACTACAAAACCATGGGTAAGGCTGAAAGTTATAAACTAACACAATCAATATAGATAAAAAAAATTGTTAAAAAAATATTTTGAAATTGCAATCGCTATATAAAAAATGTCAAATAATCAAAGCAAATAATCAATAAATCAGTGCTTGAAAACACTACTAAACCAAACGTAAAGCAGAAAGTTGTAAACCAATACGATTAATATAGCTAAAAAAAATTTGTTAAAAAAAATTATCTCAAAATTACATTTGCTATCTAAAATTTTTTTGTATTCAACAGATGATTATGGTTTACTATAAGGGACGGAGGAAGACTAAAATTTGTTTATCCTTTTAATTTTGATAGTTTGAAAGAAATGAAATTTCCCGATAGCAATTTCCGTACGCTCGGGGATTCGTGAGAATAGATTACAATAATATTTTCATATATTACTGTGGAAAACATGTTATAATTGAAGGTTTGAGTGTTTATTTATCACACCACTCTGAATTACAATATAAATACCTACTTTAAAATTCTGAAAGAAAAGAGAAAATTTTTTTCCTTTAGTTAGAATATTTTTTCAACCTATTTTTAGACTGAAAGTTTCCAAACTAACTAGCATCTAATAATTCGTCATAAATCATGATTTATGTATTAAAAGGAACTGTAAACCAATAAAAGAGAAATATAAAAAAATGGAATTCATGAAAAAGAAAAGAAAAACCAATATTTTTTGTCAATGTTGAGTATTTTTCTCTCTGCAAGATTTTAAGTATTGAATTGACTTCAAACACGAGTATTACCATAAAATTTTATACACAGATACAAAATATTCACTCTCATTCCAGAAGATTATTTCCTTGTAGAAAATATTCATGTTATGAAGAACAGCGAACTTTTCTGAGTGAAGCAACATCTCTATACTCTCTAAGTCTTCAAGAACTGATTTGACCAAAAGAACTTGATCTGAAATTAAACCTAAAAGGATTTTGTAAAAGATGGTGGCATACTTTCCTTCGAAGCTAAGACTCGCAATTCTAACCTTTTTCAATGCCATTAACGTTACAAGAATCGACAACGCTACCATTATTTCGAGAATTGAGGGAGAATTTATAAAAGTATTGGCACAAGCATTAAATTTTGAATATGAGCTTTTTGTTCCCCCAGATGCTTTCGGGGAAATGGATGCATTCGGAAACTACACTGGAATGATGGGAATGCTGCAAAGGAATGAAGTTGATATGGGATTCACCTATTTGGATATTACCTATGAGCGTTCAAAAGTTGTAGACTCCAGTGCGCCTTACTACTACATTGAAAAAAGGTTTATGATGAATTATGCTCCGTTCTTGTCAAAAACATCAGCATTCATGTATCCTTTCAGCGTACTCACATGGATTTTGTTCCTTATCGTACTGCTCTCTGTGTCAGTGCTATTTCGAACTTTGATTTCGCCAAAAGATTCCATTATTTCAGTTTTTTTCAATTTGTGGGGATCTTCTTTTGGACAAGGAATGAACTACAACCCTCGCTCACTGTCCAGGCGGATACCGCTTGGAATTTGGCTCCTTTATTCATACGTGCTAATTTTATGTTACAGCTCAGTCCTGTTATCATTTTTGACATCTCCCATCAAAATGAAACAAATAAAAGACTTCAAGGATCTCTATCTCCCAGTCAGAGAGGGGGAAATGGAGTGCCTATCAGCCGCACAATCTAAGGAATTAGATAATTTGTTGAAAAGCCAAGTACCTCATTTAAGAGGATTAGGGGAATACATTAAAAAGAATAACTGGTTTTACTATTCCCCTAGCAAAGTCAAAGTTCCGGAACATGTAGCAATAATTGCTTCAGATGATCTATTTCGTGCAAATGTTGGTACACCAGAACAGTACTTTTTTTCGAAGGACACTTTAGGATATTTTCATTACGGGATAGCAATCAGGAAAACATTTTGCTGCAAAGAGCGCTTGAATAGAATCGTCCTCCGAATTGCAAGTAGTGGCTTATATGACAAATTCAAAGAAGATTACTTCTTTAAAAGAGATTTAATAAGATATTTAAATAAGAGCCATTCTGAGAGTGCATTAGCATCACCTATAAGCTTATCAAATTTAAAGGGTGTGTTTATTATGCTTGGTATAGGATCGGCAGCAGGCATTATTGCTTTAATGATCGAAATCACCTACTATCGATGGTTACGCCCAAAACTTCGCCAAATCTGACATGCTTTTTGCTTATATATAACCTTCACTATCACCTTTTTCAAAGCATATTATTATTATAAGCTTTAAAATTAGCTGAGTTGCTAATTCGGAAGTTTTACTCCATGACCAACTTTTCATTCTAAATCTAGTACAACTAAAATGAAACACGTTATATTTAAAGCATTTCTTTATTTAACACTATTATATAATACTAGGAGTCTTCGCCCCCTGCTCGCTGGAGCTCACCAACCCCCGGAACTGCTTTCACAGTTCATTTCGGATTGCTTCGCAATCCAATGCTCGCTTTGCTCGCTCATTGGATACGTTCTTAACGTCTAGTTTTTGTATACTTTTTTGAATACTGAAGTTCCGAAAACTTTTCACTGTAGAAAATTCTAAACCTGTACATTTCAATATTAATTTGAAATTGCAAACAGTTCACATAT